ACACGTTAAAAAAAAATAGAAAAATGCAAATACTATATTCTGAGGGTTAAAGTGCATAATAATTTCAAAAAATTAAGGCTATAGAGAACTAAATTCATGACAATGTAACTTATAGATTTCAATGTTACAGCATTCATGTCATTTTGCATCACAATGAAAATGAATGATATAGCATTCACGTCCGCGAACGTGTTAACATTCCAGGAGCCCGTCTTCATCAATTGAGAATCAAATGCATCGAACTGTTCGCCAATAATTTAATTAATCGAAACTGAAAGAAACTTACATAAACATGAACCACCTAAAGTCTTAACTTTATCCTTTCCGTCCACGCAGTATGCTCGATTCCAGCTGCCTGTTTATGAATATACATCGCTTCGAATGATGAATTTTCCGGCCAGATACTCGGTACACGTCTAATTATGCACCGCCCCTTATCGCATGCCTCATATACCGCGCGCGAGGGGGCTAATTATGATTAGCATTTGCATAACCCGCGTGTCTTATAAAAGCCGCGTTTCACTGTCGAAATTTTCAAGCCCCGGGGGGCCGGAATCCGTCCCTACACGTTACATTAAATGCTTCTGTTACATTCTCACGCCGACTGGGGGATCGTCCCGAACACGGGGATGAAAAATGTATCGCGGTGGCCTGTTTTAATTGACACGAAACTTATCGGAGAAAATATTCGGGTTATCGAACTCGTTTTTCGGGGGAACAATTCGTCAAATTCTTGCATCCCATCCTACAGTACCGGGGGAATTATCAAAGGGGTGGATTTTCCGGTTGACGGGAATGAATTCTTCCAATTCTAAACCTTTGCGAAACGAGAATTTGTTCGACTGAAGACTGTTTCGATGGAAGATTAGATTTTACTTCGAAGTCTTGAATGCAATCAAAGAAGAAAACTATAGATGGTCGTTTAGTTATTTGAATAATGAAACTTCTCGTTTGCAGCTTATTTTATATATCGAAGCTTAAAGTCGCTGTTACGAAACGTTTGAACCGAAAAAACCAATTGAATCGAAAGCCTCTTATTCGTTGACTGCGAGTACCAGCGACTATACGATAATTTTCCAAGCAACAAAGGAACTAAACGTATACACCGATTCCTATTATACAAGACCAGCGATATTAATGGGAAAATGTCTGAAATGGCATTTACATTATTTCTCATTGATACGATAGAATACAGTATCTTATAAGAATTCGCGATTGCACGAAATCAAGCGACAATGTAGTATAATCGATACTTATTCTCGAAGCGTTTATTCATCGCGGAGAGTTCGCACACGTTGCGAAAAACGGGGTGAATTGCAACGGGCGTCGAGTGGCTCGAGTGTTGCACCCACAACGCGCGAACGCCGGCGCGATATTCGAAAGTATCGATTCGAGTGCGATTAATCCGCGCTTGACGCAATCGAGGCTGTCGAAGTTCCCGAAAAGTTGATTTCCGCGGTGCGCCGGGTCTGGCAAAACCGTTCCGGCAAAATACCGAGTTAATTAAACGACGCGGAACAGCCCCGTCATTTCATCGTGGAAAGCGTGCCGCCTTTTGTAGGGCAACCGCTATCAATTTCGCGAAAACGATTAATTCCTTTAAACCCGTGGCCGTGCAAGAGAGTGCCCCGACCCCGAAACTTTCCGGGCGATATTTCGTGAACTTTCCGGCCGGAATAGCGTGGTTTACAGACACTCGGCGCGAAAATGCTGGATCACCGATCCCCCACCGCCGATATGCGCTCGCATAAGTCACGAAAAACAGTATAAGAAGCCAGGCGGCGGCGTTGCCCGCGCGATAACCCGCCCGCCGCTGCGAGCACTTAAATTTGTTACGCCCGCATCGAACTTCTCCGATGAATAACTCACCGCGCTGCTGGCTCGTAGCCGTACGTCTTCGAAAAATACAAATCGATCGGGTATTCGGACGGTTCCTACTGAAGGAAGGTTGATCGAGAATTCGTTTGGAAGCGTTGTATCGGAATGTAGTGTCCATCGTGCAGTAGAAATTCGATGTCTCGCTGTTGTTCGAAGTAGAAAAAGTTTCACTGTTCGATTTGCCTATTGGAAAATTGAATTCTGTGGCAATGAGGAAGTGAATATCTGATGTACATTTGGAATCGAATGTTTTTAATGGTGATTCTGTTAATCGCGGTGCAAACAGATTCGCGTTGGCGTAGTGATCATGTTGGAAGTATAATTCTTAGGAATTTCAACCCTTCGCAGGCAAACGTAATGGAGACTTCTAATGTTTAAATCGGAAGTTGCGAATGAATAATTTAATGATTCAAACAACGAGTGACTGGTGCGTAGTTTTCTTTAGAAGTTTAAAAATTCTCATACGCAAAAGGTTAAACCTTTACGATCGGCATATTTTTTTTATGACAATACCAACTAGTCAAAGCAAAGTTATTTTTCTACAAATATATATTTTCAAAGTTATTTTTCTACAAATACATATTTTCAAAGTTATTTTTCTACAAATACATATTTTCAAAATTATTTTTCTACAAATATATATTTTCAAAGTTATTATTCTATAGGTGGTTTATAATAAATATATGGATACTAAAAATTTGTTGAAGTTAATGTGTTTTGTTGAATATAAATTCTGTGAAATAACACTACTCAGAAAAAAAGAACACGCCACCATATTGGCGACACCGATTTCGAAAGCAAATATTGAATGTCGCCACTGTGGCGGCACCAATCACAAAAGATTAATAATGCCGATCAATACCGACTATCCCAATCCGCAAATTTCCTAATAAAACTCAAATCTACAGAATATTTTCACATATTCTCCTTTCGTTTTCTTCAAACATTCCTTCGAAGTTTTCGTTTACTCTCGTTCAGTTTCGCAATTTTCGAGAATAATCGGAAACCGGGAAGCTATGGATGGTATAAAATAAACGGCGCAGTGCACCGATTCGACGGGGCGGCTCAATTATCAACAGCTCGTCGTCTAATTGAGCGGGGATACTTCAAACTGCGGCGTCACTTTCGAGGGATGCAAATTCCCCGCGCGCTCTCGCGCGGAGCCACCGGGAGGCTGAATTGCCAGTTAAACGCATAATCCGCGCACACTCGAGCAACATGCAAATCTTCGGAGCCACTTCATAAACAGGTACATCACTTAGGCATTGTACGCCGAGCGCTGCCATTGAGGATAATCTTACCGTACCATTTCTCGAAACAATATGATTACATTTGCATACAAGTTCGCTGCGCGAGCCGACTAAGGTGATTTTCTGTGCCTGTTCCACAGACATACGAATCGAGGTATCGGTTTCTCGCGGTACGCCGTGGTACCTTTGTGAAATCCGAACGTAAATTACGCTCGACGATTACGGTAATTCCATCGCAAATTAATGGGTCTCGTGTAATTCACTTGGACAGCTCTCATTCGTCGTTTAGCAACGAGGATTGTAGTTTTTACATTTCCTTCTAACGCGTCGAATATCGGACTATTTCACATGGAAAGATAGGGGAAATAAAGAAAATCTAATATCAGCGAGTTTAACGCGTTGAATGTCATGGGGGTCACCGGTGACCCCCGACCAAATCGAATTATTATAGTTCACTCAATGAAACGACGATTATATGAAAACATTTCTATATTGTAAATAATGCTACGTAATACAGTGAAATTCAGCTAGATGAACGAATAGTAATAGGAATAGTAATAATGCAATTCGATCAAATGATTTAAACCCTAATCGTACCACGAGTTTTTATAACGAATCATACCACGATGTGACTCTCAGTCGCTTATGAGAATAAAAGGAATGATTAAAATGAAATATGAAATAATCAAAAAATATAAGTAAAAAGTTCAAATGTGACTCAAAGTCTCATCGTGGTCCGATTAAGGTTAATATTATATTTTTTCCATTTTGTGTATTTTCCTCTATGAAATCGTGGGGCGTTCAACGTGTTAATTAAATTGCGTTATTATTATTATACGTTCATCTTGTTCGCCGCATTAAGTGTCATTGCTTATAATACGGAGAATTTATAATGGAAGTTTGGCAAATAATTATGGTTTGAATGAATGAATTATAGTAATTTGATTTGGTTTTCACTGTTATGGGTTATGCTTGTTATATGTATATAAAAAATTTTGTTTTATCTCTAACAGATTTTTGAAATATTGCGGAAAGATATTGAACAACGTAGCTTTTAAGCTTTTGGAAAGAACGGGAGGTTATTCTTTGACTAATTGGATGTTGTAAAGTATTACAAGTTCGAGGTATTTCTAATTGCTCTGTTGGTCTCGAACGAAAGAACAGCGGCCGCTTAATGTGCCAGTAAATATTGATCGCGGGTGTTGTCTATGAAGGAAAATACTTGCAGTGGCTTTAGGGAGCTTAAAAGATTTTGCGAAATTTACAGGATTCAATGTGCAAATAGTTTTGTAATACCTGGAACCGACAGGTATCTTGAATACCGAATAATCTGAGTTACTACCACTGTATCAAACTGTGGTGAATGTATCTAAAATACTTTAGCAGATATTTCATATAAAATAGGAGATACATTTAAACTTAATTGGAATTACATGAGACGTTCGTGATGTTTAGCTTCTTCAAACATTTTCAGAATAGCTCGTACCTTTAAATCTTTGATACATTTCAATATTTACGAGCATACATTTTAGAAGAGTATTAAAATATCTACATTAGTATCTATATACACTTGTATTTATGGAACTTTGACATAATTCGTTTACACGATAACATCACAATTTCATAAAAACAATTAATAATTAAACTGCGAATATTAATCTCCGAAAATTCCCATTTTTACCTACACGCGCACATGAAAAATAAATTAAATACTCACTCATCAATTAAAGGACACCGAAATTACAATTATAAGAGTTACATCAATTCCAATTAGAATCACAATATTTTCGCCTAAAACAGTGCAGTGTTCTATAAACACACAAAACCGGCAGTTTAATTATCACGCGTGAAACTATTTTCATTATATCTTACCTTAATCCAAAGGGTCGAATAACAGGATTACTTTCCGGAGGGAAATATCGATGCGCACCGCGCGTTGAACCTGCAACGAGAAGGAAAAACGGAAATGAAGATTTTATTAGAAATGGACTACGGGAGATCAGCTCGCCGTTTAATTTAATCCGTTTGTATCGAATTGCGTTAAAGCTTGGAAAAGGCACGCGCTACTATCCGCCGGGATTTCCTGCGACCGATAAAGGACGCCCCGTGCCTTAATCGTCGTCGCGAAGTGCGGATTTCACCGTTGGTGGGGAGAACGGAGGGTGCACCAATGCTTTGCCGGTCTTAATTGGTTCTGATCGATCCGACCCTCGTACTAATTAGTAACGACGAGTTGTTAACGAGGTTCCGCGCCGTTGACTAGGAACACGAGTCAGCGGCGAGATGTAAGCACGGATTGACGCGTGGAAAATCCTCGGAAACGCGTTCCCACCCCTCGACAATATGAAAACATTGATCTCATAAACAATGAGAACGCATGGAAATTCGGGAACTCGTGTTAAACTCGTCATAATATAACGAGAAATCAACCCCTTACTGGATAATCATCTGCGAGACACGGTGAGGGTTTCTGGTTCGGTTTAATGGAAATCAGTATCATTTTATTACGTGTAGATCGAAATAAACATTATTTTACTGTTATCAACATTGTGGGTTCAAATAGAAGTGTTAGAATTTTAATGTGGAAAATATGAAACCACCCTTAGGAAATATGATTTCTTATTTTGCAGTATCCTTCAGTAATCTTTTATACTGTGATCTTTTTTAAAATTGCGCTTGATAGAATTATTTCATTGTTTACAATAAATGTAGAAAAAGAAGCTTTATATTCATTTAATACCTAACCATGTCTATGTATACTTGAAAGCACTATAACTAATAATAGACGAATAATAGTTCATCCGGATTTTGAATAGTAAAGTGACATTTATGTTTGTTCAATTCTATTCGAAATTGTAACACAGCGGAATAATAGAATAATTATCGCTAACAATTAGAAATATTTACAGCAAAGATTTTCGCAGTTCTGCTTCCTATAAATTGCTCTTTGCGTAGATTTTGCGGATAAACGTGTTTTCTTAGAGATTCGGGATCATAATTCCTGTGAAATTGATTTTTAAAGCTCAAGGAAATTAAAAAGATTAAATGCAAATGTTTCGCGTTGAAGGCAGATTATTCAGGTCGCACGGATCAACCCCATCAATAAGGGGTGAAATTTAATCGCACAGCGTGCACGGAAGAGCGTGGAACGGAAGAATGTGTAGTCAGGACAGTTTGATAACCGGCGATATAATTTCTATTAAGATCGATGTCTTGCCGGGCAATTAATACGAGGCAATTTTCGCGGCGCTATCTGACGCGTAAATCATCCGGTGGTTATACTTTCGGATCGCGGGATTCGATTAAACCGGAGACACGCAAGGAGAGGGGGATGGCTGATCTGTTTATAGCTGAGAATGTCACGCCTATTAACCCAATATACAAAAAAGAAAAAGGAAAAATCTCGTAATCTTTACCATCTTCAATAATACAGAACACCTAACCATTAAAGTTAAATGAAGATTAAGCTAAAGTGGAGATTAATTGCCTTCTATTTTCAAAAATCGAATTCCAAGTGCGAATAGAAGGAAGGAAAAGAGAGAATGTTTGAACGAAAAATACGGAAAGGAAAATATTTCGCGCTGGTTCCGTATGTTTAAAGGAATTCGATGAAAATAAAGTATTCCATTAATTCTGAATCGCGTCATAACGCACGGCAATAGAAGCGCGAGCTTTAAAAACACGGGAACGTGACTGCTCTATTGTAATCATGTGTGAAAAAGCTCATCGTTCTTTTTTTTTTCTTTTTGCGAAAACAAAGTGCACGCTGGATTTGTTCGCGAAAGACGCAGCGCGAGCGTCGGGCGCGAGAACTTCCGTTCCTCTTTTTTCTCGCGCCGCGCGGCCGGTTTAATCGGTTTATGTTCTGTCGGATAATTAATTCTCTACCCCGTTAATGAGCAGAAAGCCGCTTGGCCGGGCTTTTTCGACTCGTGTCGCCTCGATAATTGAAGCGGCCGATCGTATTTGCCAGCGTTAAACGGACAACACGTTCTCTCGAATTATTCGCCCTGGTAAGTGCGGGGGCCGACTGGTAATTACTTGCTCGCAATTAGCGAAACAAACAACCGCACCCGCGAACCCTGCAAACACATTTTTCTGGCAGCGATTACCCTTCGGCTGCCAGTCATATCTTAAACTGCCGACACTTTATTCCACCGGAACATCGTAAAGTCCACTTTACACTTGCGAATATTAATTAACGCTTCACGGTACTACATCTTTCAAGCCTCCTCACTCTTTTCGTCTTTGATCTACATTGTCCGTTAATGCTGACAATCCGCGAAAAGAGAATTTGAGATTGATCGATTCGAAATTGAACGAGAAGCACGTGAAACGGTTCTGAACGTTCAAATATTTGGGGGAAATAATTATGTACTCATTAAACTATTATTTAGAAACAAGGCATTGGAGATAGATAATTAAAAGGTAATCTCATATTTGATCAATCGATAATCAAGAGTTCACCGAAGAGTGCAATATTCGAAAGATAGAAAAGCTGGAATTTAGTTAACCATTTACTTGTATGTCTCACTATTTCCTATAATACTGTAACATCTTTACTTGCATATTATAACAATTGTAAGGAAATGGAATACATAAATGTTATAGCTTAAACAAGCGAGGTTACCCGATCATGCCGAATCGACTGAGGCTAAAAGAAAAACATATTATTCTTACTGTTCGAAATTTTCAGACAACGCTTCAACATTCCCAGGAGTTCTTCGTCCATTCAAGCACGTTCTTCAGGAACACCGTGCTCGAGTGTGCGTCGGGATTAAAGGGAAGTCAATTGACTGTCGTTACGAGCAGCGACGGTGTCCAATCCCGAACGGAATCGTGTTTATTACCGTCGAAGTAGCGCACAAAAGACGGTGCGCGCGAAAGCTTTGTACGCATCAGTATGCAGCCTCCATCAATGACAAGATTACTTCCGCGCAACGGAATTAGCAACGCGGGCGGAAAATTTCTTTTCCTCGCTGTTAATTTCGATTCTGTCACGGCGCGGCCCGCGGAACATTCCTTTGAGCTTCAATGGAGAAGAGAAAGGAACCGAGCGTACGCAAATCCTTTGTGCTCGCGAAAAGAAACGGACAAGGAGATTCTATCAGCGAAGCAAGCCACCGAAATGTCTTAAACACCAAACCAATTACTTCTTTTAATTCCCAGCATATACAGAAGAAAGTTTTCACCAGGAAAAACGCTACAAACAATTCAATTGCAATGTTCCTTGGTGTAATACAACTTTAAAAGCCATTTATATCGAGATAAGCTCTAGAAAGCGCTTAAGATGAACACAAAAAATACAATTAATCCCTTGTGAAATTCTAGAAAGTATCTGTAAACAGATTATTTTCCATTTATTCTAGTGTATTCAAATTAATAAGAAGAGTGTTCATAATATAAAAGAATGTTTGTTCGATTAACCCGTCGCTAAACGTCTTAAATCCCCTGAACAGATCGCATCTCTGTTCCATAATACTTTCCTATCACATCCCTAACAACAGAAAGCCAAGTCTTCATAACGCAAAAACGTTCACAGAGCTATTCGATTAATCCCTCGCGAGCTACCAAATACAACCGAGCAGATGCTATCGTCTTTTCCCACATGATAGCAGTAGAAAACTCTGTAAAACAAAAAAGAATCCGTCGTAAAACCCAATTCAAACGTTGTTCGCGAACACGCAGCCCCATAAGCTACTTATACCAGCACGAGGAGCAGAGAGCATCCGCAATGATCCCACGAAAAATTCAATTAATCCGTCGCAGAATGGAACTGTGAGCAACCGCTAGGCAAGAGGCGTAAGCCTCTTCCTCTCCGACAGCGAAAAATCCTTTCGCTACCGAGGAAAATGGTGAAGTTCGACGCGGGGATCGCGTGCAAGAGACTCTCTCTCGCTCGATGTCCGATAGATATCGGGCAGAAACTGCGGATCGACAGTTGGCAGGACGGAAAGGGTCGCCGATAGAACGATAGGAGAGAGGTTCCGAGCGGCGAACGGTGACAGTGGCTCGTTTGAAAATAGACGTGATCACGTTCCGGTCGCGGGGAACGGCTCGACGTCGATCCGCCGAGCGTCCCGTGGACCGTTCGTTCGCCGAGGATAATTGCTGTCAAGTAAAAGGGGCGAGATGTTAAGCCACATCTCGTCGAAACAACCGCAATTAAGGTCGAGCAGGCTCCGTAATGGCTCGTATTACACGCAGGTTACATGCTCCGCACGGGACCCGAGACTGGACGAAGCTACACGATGACCTACATGGATCGTTAGCGGATTTTTATAGGCTACGCCGTCCATTCGACTCGGACACGTTTAATGGCCCGGAGAGACGGACGTGGACGATCCCCCGAATCCGTGGATCGCGGATTTTTGCGGTTTGATGGCTAGAATAGAATAGACAAATTTTCCGTGGGGTTTTATTTCACTTTATTTGATATTTTTCGTTTATACGAGTTGGCCATACGGGATAACGAATTTTTCTTTTGCTTCGGGTTATAGGTGGTTGAACAGAAATGTGTGAATTCGAACGTTTTTAGGATTGTAGTCCGAGGGATGGTGTGTTCGACAAATTGGTCAATTGTTCGATGGTTTTGTTTGGTAGAATGGTTATTGAATCGTTTGTCGGATAGTAGTGATGTTGAATTGAGATTCGAAGTAATGGTGTTGGTGTTTTAAGAATAGCATGATTCCTGTGTAGTGGCAATTGTATCTGCTGCAGAGCAGACTTAGCGACGTCTAATTCACTGACCTAATTACGGTGGGACCAAGACTATCAAGATCAATTCGGCTAATTAGAGGGGCTATGGAAGTTAGAAACATTTCGTGAAACTTCTACGATGACTGAACTTGAACTGCCTATTATCAGCAATCGGATTAGCTTTAATAACAGTGCTAATTAGTTGATGAACCTTGTTCTTGCATATTACATCCATGCTTTCAT